TATATTCACTTTAAAGGTAAATATATATATATATATATATATATATATATATATATATATATATATATATATATATATGGTAGTAATATTATGCCATTGTTTCAGCTTGTGAATGGAAAACAAAAAGTAGTGGATCTGGAGTCTGGCTAATGAAGCAGGGTCAATTTACACAGGCTTTCTGATAAAATTTCAGCTTCATAAAACCTAACAAACACAAACAGCAGTTAAAACGCTGTGGTTTCTCTGTTAATCCAGGTTTAGATACTCCAGCCGTGATTTATCCAGATTTAGATGGTCAGGCTGTTTATAATCCAGGTTTAGATACTCAGGCTGTGATTAATCCAGGTTTAGATGCTCAGGCTGTGATTAATCTAGGTTTAGATACTCAGGCTATGATTAATCCAGGTTTAGATGCTCAGGTTGTGATTAATCCAGGTTTAGATACTCAGGCTGTGATTAATCCAGGTTTAGATGCTTAGGCTGTGATTAATCCAGGTTTAGATACTCAGGCTATGATTAATCCAGGTTTAGATGCTCAGGTTGTGATTAATCCAGGTTTAGATACTCAGGCTGTGATTAATCCAGGTTTAGATGCTTAGGCTGTGATTAGTCCAGGTTTAGATACTCAGGCTGTGATTAATCCAGGTTTAGATGCTTAGGCTGTAATTAACCCTTGTGTGCACGAAAGCATGACGTTTATGACAAATATCCATTCAAGTGAAAAAAGGAGTAAATGAAGAAAAAAGAAATTATACTAAATATATATTAAATAAATATTTATAACAGTATAAAAGCAACAGTCACCACTGACACCAGAGTTAGATTGAACTAAGTTAGCTGGGTAAGAAGAAATACTGCGTCATGAAACAGAGACCTGGACTGAGAAAGCTGAGAAGGTTATCTGTAAATTGTGATTTACCGAACCTTAAATGACCATCTAGCCATCAATAATACAAAATTAGCCAGTACGTTATATTTATAATGTATAAAATCACTCAAACACTATTACATGTTACTCTTTGATGGAGTACTTTTGCTTCTCAAATAGATACTGAAAAAAATAAAAAAATGATACAATTTGTAATTGAACAGCTGGTTACTGCTGTTAAATTCACACACAAGAGAGACACAGCAATTATTCATTACTAGATTAAGAAAATATTCACTGTCATGATGTCATGAAATAACTGGTCAGTTTGATATTGTGAAGAATCTTGTGTACTGATAGTTTGGGTCACACTGACCTCTTATTCAGTGTAAAGTGTATTTGAGGGCCAATAAATAAACTACCATAAAAGATGCACTCTAGCAGGTATTACTTATGTACAGAGCAGCATTACATGATGAGCAATATTTAATATTCATAACCCGTTAAGTAGATGGTGTCCTAAAAACTGGAGAAATGGCTGCACCAAACTAGCATCACTGTATGATCACATTACCATTGGTACCAATTCTAGCTTAAACATAGGCATTCAAGACTTATAACAGGCATACAAGTAACATATTCTTTAGTCAATATGCAGTTTCCCTCTACTGTGCCGTGTTTACGACTTCATTTTACCTGTAAAACCAGCAAGCACTCATTTGTTTGCTGCAGTCAATGAGGTAATGCTGAGAAGATGAACAGTAACTGAACTGCAGGGCTGTGAGGCTACTTTACATAACAACATGGCAACTGGCAACAAGAACTTCCATTCATAGTTAGCCATGTTTGCTAGAGTATAAATTATATGTCAGTCATGATTAGCTTATCAACATCATAAACATTGGTAAATGATCACCCCTAATCTTCTAACATTGCTGTGTCCAGTATGAGACTCAGGGATGAAAAGATGTACAAAAAATGGTAACTGTATGCTGATCAAACCATAGTAAGTGTCTTCAAACTTTTACTGTTATTAATAAAAATATTTATGGGATTTTTATCTAATTTAATAATCTGAGTTACTGGATAGAAATACTTTTTTCATGCCCCTGTACATATTTCACACCCATGTGTTATTTGTTCTGTAAGCTAATGTTTAAACTGACTACAAATAGAGGCCTCAAAAGCTGGAGGCAGATTTCACTGTTAAATGTTTAGCATTTCCATCTCAGTGTTGTGCAACCCAGGATATAAGGGCAAGAAAGAGGACTGCTTAGTAAGATCACTTGCATCTAAGGATGTCAATGTAAATGAAATCATTACTGGTCATGATTTGTGGAGGCAAAGTAACTATTTATACAAATGCTTTAGGCTTTAGTCAGAAAGCAGGCTACTAATTCTCTTCTTTTGAAATTCTTTCTATATATAAGTGATCAAGATATAAATCTACAGGCCACGAGAGCCGTATTCTGAGCTCTTAATAACACTGTCAAATAAAATAATTTGTCAGAGATTTTAATATTCACCTTAACAATCCACAAGATCCACTAAGGCATATGTATCTTTCTTATACTCTGTTGGTTTCACTCAAAATACAATGGGGCCCACTCATTATTGCAGCCACACTCTTGACTCTTGATTTTGATCTTTGGTGTAAACTAAGATCATTTAACCGTTCTCCCCCAGAGCACAGCCCTCTCAGATCATTCTCTTATCCCATATGAAATTCACTTTAGTCATAAAATATGTTCATTCTTACGTTATTGTGACAAGCGTACTATAACATCCTCCACAGCTAGTAGCTTTATCGAGAACCTCCCAGATCTATCAGCTGCCAATCTGAACCTATCAAATTACATATTTTGACTGAATGTTTAAGGGACACTTTTCATTCTACTTTAGATAATATTGCTCCACTAAAAAGTAAAATAATAAGGCAGAAAAAGCTCACCCCATGGTACAATGATCATACTCAAGCTTTAAATCAGGCTGTCAGACAACTAGAGCATAAAAGGCACCTGACTAAACTAGAAGGACTACAATCTGATTGGAAGGACAGCCTTACAGGCTACAGAAGGACACTTGCTACAGCACGTTCAACCTATCCCTCCTCACTGAATGAATAATGATAAGAATAATTCTAGATTATTATTTAGCACAATTTCTAAATTTACTAAGAACCAAAGAGCTGCTGAACTCCAGATACCATCAGCTTACAGACTCAAGATACATGTTGAATAATTAAATTCAGACAGGAAAAAAAATACAAACACAACTGATTAAATTAAGAGCGCTAACCTTTGCTGATGCATAAAACTTTTTGTTTCCAACTTTTTGAGTGTGACTGTATCAGTTTTGCTATGGCCATGTACAGCAGCTGCAATGCTGTTCACTCAGGATCAGGATTAGGATCAACACAACTTCAAGTAATGAGCTTTTCGTGGCAAAAAAAGGTACATGCAATAAAACAGCTTGAACTGGTTGGCTAGCATTTAAATACAACGTAGGCTAGCTGGTAACAGGCTAATTTACCTGAAGTTGTTGGCTAATAAACGTATAACACATTTTCACATATAACATGTTACCCACGTTTCATATTAAATGCTCCGTTATCTTTGTTGCTACTTTCCAACACTGCTGCAGCAACTTCAGCAGCTGTAAACTCTTTTCATGCCATTTCACTTGTGTCTCCGATGTTGACTGAATGAAGAAGTAAGGGTTTCTGACATGATGGGTCAGATTTCCTGAGTGTCCGTTGATCAATTTCACACAAAATGTTGATGGACTCAACCCCTCTTCACAACCTCATAACACCTAATGTGAGTGACATACAATCTCATTATAAGATGGAATCGAAAAATGCAGGAAATTTTGGAACCTTATTTTTGCACTGTATTATCACAAAGATAGAGAATAAAATAGAGGAACATCAAATTTGACACACAGATGTGTTTAGTGGATCCTGGAGGGTCAAACACAGCATTTACTGTAGCACTTCAGTTCTGTCCCTCAAACTAAAGGTTGTCCTACAGTGAAAGACTTGTTATTTAAATTCCTGTTGAATCAAACAAGTTTTGTGTAAGATTTCCTTTTGAGAAACTCAGTTCTTGCAGTAAATAATGACACTTAGCTAAAATCTCTACTGTGGATTCAAGACTTTAAGCTGCGTGAACTTCAGCGATTCTTGGACTTTATAAATTCAGGGGCTCCAAATTCCATAAACTATAATAATAATAATAAAAATAATTGTGTAATTCTTAAAAATAACCCACAAAACAAGACAATGTATTACTGCATTTTTACTTTTTCATGTGACCCTTTATAATATTGTAATCGGATGAATGTCTAACACAATAGAAGCATGTTTTTTTTAAGTCCTACTACTTTTCTTTTCACTATCCTAACTGACCCTGTAATCAGAGAGAATGTGTATGATTATCTGAATGACATGTTAAGTATAAGTTTTTAACTCTTTAAGATCCCACTTGTTTTAAATAAATCTATTTAATATAAATAATAAATAATATTGAGGTTTAACACAATAATTAGGATACAATTTAGAACCTGATGGAGCAAACTTAAAACTATTTGGAGCACAGTTTGCAAGGTTGAATGAAAACATTTTTTTTGTTTGTTTTTTATGGAAATATTTTATTGCAGAAAGATTTATTTCTATTATGTAGTTTATCACCAACAAAACAAGCTTTACATAATTAACACAAGATCAATTAAAAAACTGAAAATGAAAATGAAATGAAAACACAGATGTTCAAGCCTATATATCCTCTCCATGTGATCATCACCTGCATTTTTTTTTTTTTTGATTAACCCATTAAAATCTCAAGCTTATTACATGCTAAGACTCATTATTGAGTAACTACAGGGACTTCAATGCAAACTGGCTGAGCTATTCTTAGGTTATAGAAGTGTGTAATATAACTTTTGGCCATTTTTTAAGGGGTTAAACAAAGTATTGAGTTAAACTAAGAAAAGAATGAAAAAAAAATTACTGAACAATATTTTCATTCAAATAAAATATTAAACATTAAACAGTGCTGTTTAAAATATTGCAAGTTTAACTGAGCGCTGAATGAAAATAAAAAATAGTTAAACCTGTGTTGCCTGTATTTATTTGTGTATGTGTTACACAGTGCACATTTTAAGAGGATCAGTTAGATTTTTTTTTGCATTCACATAAGACTCTGAATTCAGATCTACAGTCTTTATCTCTCCATTTGAAACCTTTCTCTGTATCTATGGCACCGCAGTGGTGGGACAGTGGAGGCTCTGGTTGTCTCCCCTCCGCCCAGTTGGTCCAGGGACCCACACCAATCCCATCAGTCCAAATCCAGAAGCCAAATAGCTGACTCTGTCCAAGACCCACCCACAAAGTTCCAGAGACAGGCCTCCTCCTGAGCTCAAACTCCACCTCTTGCTGGTCAGACTCAGACTGAATGCGCAGAAAACCAGCTCTGTTATCTTTCTTACAGTAATCCAGAGCGTGCTCCCAGCTCATAGTGACATAACTGACATGAATGAATGCTGATCGAAACATAAAAAAAGATGTTTTAGATTGATAACATTGATACAGAATGATACAGTTTCAAAAACAAAATAAATAAGTGTATTTAAGATTACATAAAAACTGGACAGTGTTAGGCAGTGTGTGATGATTTAGGAATACAGGTTGCATGATGCAAAAAACATGAAGTGGCAGCTATAAGCTTCCTTTACTTATGGCTTCAGAGAGTAAGATTTGATAGGGTTGATACAGATTTTACTAGAGCCTGTATATTTACAATAAAAGGGCAAAAATATTTGCTTCTGAAAAGCAAGAGTCAATCAAAGTACACCTGGGTTTAAATCTACTGGTCCTAAATCTTTCTTAACTTCATTATACTTATATGTTATTGTTTCATTCTACATTAAACATTCCTTGTCATGCAATTCAGATTCCTGCTGTTTCAATGACTCTATAAAAGAGGAGGCTCTAGTAGTTTTCCTCTCACCCAGTTGGTCCAGGGACACACATTAATCCTTTGTGTTGTATATAAGATCCTGCATGTTTTGGTTCCTCATTCTCTAACTGTTTTATGAAGAAGTAAACAAGTGAAAAAAGGTCCACTAGATCAGTGACCAGAGGAGTTGTTGTGATACCTGTGATTTAGACGTCCTTTGGACAGTCAGCTTTTTCAATAAAAGCAGCTCATGGATCACACTACATTTGATTCTTTTTCAGCTAATTTAAAATCATGAATAAATAACTGTAGAGAATGTCATCATAGTTTATAAATCCTTTTAACAGCTTTTATTTTATATACTGTCTTATATTGCTGTATGTGTCATTAATGTTTTATGTAATTTTATCAGTGTCTTTATCTTTTTTTCTGCCCAGGGATGACAGTTGTAAATTAAATGTTGTTTAATGTGCATTCTCCCTGCAAATCAAAAACAAATAAACTAAACTAAAATTCAAGAAGCCAAAGAGTCAAAGTTTCACCTATTGTGCAGAAGACCCATCCTGTTACTGCTCTCACAGCTCCCATTGTCACCATGGTGCATAACAATAGGGTGATATCAGCGACACTGATGCTCAAAAAGTGTGTTTTATTCACGATACTGAACTCTGCTGAGAGAATTAGAGTGTGTGTGAAGTCGTGACTTACTGCTGTAGCACAAAGCAGGCCGAGTATTACTGCATGGCCCTGTTTCCCATTTCCCTTTTCTCAGTGTTACACAGTCTGATGATAGTCGAGGCTGACCAGTCGCCCAGTTTCTGTAGGCAGAGCGTCCTCCATCAGTCCACTCCCAGTCATCACGCAGCAGGCCGATCCAGAAGGACGTGCTGCTGTTCAGTCCTTCTGTCTTCACTGCTTCATTCTGGTTCTGATCTCTGATGCTGACCAGGTCAGTGTAGTTCTTCCTGCAGTAACTCTGAGCTTCATACCAGCTCATATTCTCAGAGATTAAATGATACCTGAGAGTGAGGTCAGTATCTGTGGAGGTGAAATAATGGACACATTAAAACTCTGAAGTTGACAGGCATAAATATTACAGAATTGATAGTTAAAACTGTTAATAATACTGTTGTATTTAATACATATAATTTAGATGTGTCAGTCTTAAAGGAGCAATAAATGAACAGTCTGTTTATTTCAAAAGAATAAAGAAAAGCTGGAAAATTGATATTTAAAATGAATTATGACAGTTGTTGGTGCAAAAAACCCCAAACATAATAAGTAGACCTCAGAGAATATATGCTAGAATGTAAGATAAGGCCCTTTTAAGAAGCTGATAATTATTTCACCATATTGATAGATAATTTTGCTTTGTTTTAAGAAATATGTTGTAAACAAGCAAAATTAAATGCCAATGAGGTGATTTGTTTTTTGGTTGATAAAATTAATTTAAACTAGTAAGTATATGCCTAAAAATAACCTTACAAATATTACCATGAGAAATATTAAATATACAGACTAAATTTGGGATAATTTTACTTGTCAGACTTCGGTTGTTTGCAGTGTAGGAGTAGAAAATACAGAGTTAATACAGTGTAAATCAATTCAGTCAATAGTCAGTAGTTACCTCGTTTATAACACATGAAATTTCTTTTCTCTGTGCAGTTAAGACTTTCCCATGAACCATCAGTCTTCACAGCAGCACACCAGGACCCTGACCCACAGACCCCTGTCAGATTACTGAATGTAACATCTTCACCATTAGACCATTTATTACTGGACTGTTTGTGGGTCAGACCAATCCAGGCTGTACTGATATTAGTCATGTTAGTCAGATTAGTCAGTGCAGTGTTCTCTTCATCACTGTACACAGTGACTATTTCAGTGTAGTTTGTTCTGCAAGCTGCTCGAGCCTCAGACACATTCATTTTCTTCTCAATGATGTCAAAAGTTCTGAGACATTTTAGGTCTGCAATAGAAAAACCTGTAGAAAGAAGTTCTGTAGTTAATGTAGCAGAACAGAAATGGCAGGTGTAGATGTGATATGTGTGTGTATTTGATTGCATTTGAAAGTATTTTCTCATCCTGTTTTTTCTTGTTTTATAGTGCATCTTTGTCTTATTAATATGTGAGCACTGTTCAGGTCTGTTAATAAAAGTTAATAAAATTCACAAGTTTAAAATTGTTCAAAGGAAAAATCTGCTCAAAATTCAAACTTTAATGTGTGATTACTAACACAGTGCTATTATTTTGAAGTGATGTCATAAGAATAAAAATCCAGTAACTGACAGATGATCATCAATAATGTCCAGTCTACTGAAAAGGTTCATTTCTTTTCTAGAATTAAAGCTGGCAGTAAATGAGCATATATTTACTCTTAGCTGAATTTGTTGAGATTCAGAGTAACAGGGCTAAAGATTCCCTGGCGAGCACCCACATGTTGCGACCCCAGAGCCAAATCTAGGGGATAATGGGGTCAGTAACATATGATTTAAAATGTGACGTTTGGAGCACGAACCAGGAAGAAGCAAGACACAAATCGGTTTCTGCTTTTTTTACCATTTAATGCATGTTAGGTTACAATACAATCACAGTAGCATCACAGGGAGACTTTCAAAATATGATTATTTATATTATTAACAATATTTCCAAAATGGGATATATACCAGCTGCTTAGATTTTGGACCTGGATGGCGCTAAAGGAAAGAAATCATCAAAACAAACAAAAAGGAAAAACACTACCCTAATTTAAGTTCACACCTACCAACAAAACAAAATAGCTATCTACACTGATCTTACCTATACCAAAACATAAATACAAAGATTGGAACCCACCCCTTACCTAATGTGTCTATACATTGGGCTGCTACATGGCGTAAAATGTATAAGCGTGCCGCTCTAACCTGTCCAGAACCCCAAGAAACCATATAAGAGATAAATAGAACAGAGAGATGTAAAGCAGAAAGGCAATAAAGCTAACGTGATTTAACAACCCGAGGCACAAAAGCACAAGCTGACATGGTCAAGATAAATCCCCAACACCCCTTTATCCAGCCCGGACACGTAACAACGTTCTTTATTTAAGAGCATGTTGTGTCATTCAAACAGTGCTCTGTCTGCTGCACTCTCAGTCTGTAGAGATCTTCCTCACTTGTCAGACCTCAGCCTGCAGACCCCTGTCTACCATGCACTTGTCTATGAATTCCGGTCTAAAAAGATGTTTAGGATGCCTGTTTATATTACTGTTGATGGTACACAGCACAACTGTGTCTGTGACGTTTAGTGACAGACAGCTGAGAATAACAGAGCTGTGACCTAAAGGGTCTAGAAGCTGATATTCTATTCTGGACCTAAGCAGTGTGGCAACATGCATTTATCAGACTGTAGTTAACTATTCAGCATATAATACTGGAAACTCAGAAATACTGAAAAAAAAATCAAATGAATAAAAAAAGTAAAATAAATGAAAAATTCCACACACTCATCAAATGATGAATTTATTTGTGTGTAAATTTCTCCTTTCTCTGATTCATCAGACAAATCTGTTTAATATTTAACTGCATGAACTCCTTACATTCCAGCTGTATGACTGAAATGAATTATACACGACTGTCTGAACTTACTGTGTGCACAAAGATGGCAAATATCATCTTCACCACTACAGAAAGTAATAATCCTGCATTATAAACTTTACATTTACAGCATTTAGCAGCTTTTATCCAAAAAGATATAATAAAGGTCTTTGTTGTCTAAATCCAACTGCTCAAAACATTTTCTACAATTCAGTTTAGTATTTTATTATGTTGTTAAGCTCTTTAATAATGTTTGTACATCCATAAGTGCCTTGTTATATTATTATATTATTCTATATATCAGTATTATATTATTATTGTGACTGCTTCTTCTTCTCTGCAGACTGTCCTCAAAACCAATATCTGTAAATCCTTTACATTATTTCAAATTTAAATTTAAACCCAAATTCCATTTAATAATTATATGATAATAACTGAATTTCATCCCTGAGTTGTATGTAGTGTTTGCTGGTGTAGTAGGATTAGATTTAAAACTATTTATGATCTCTTTAAGAACAAATTAGAGGATGAGCCTGAATCCAGACTCCTCATATTCAGAAGTCGTTACAGAACCAAAATAAACCAACACTGATGAGTAACTGTAATGTTTAGAACCAAAACATTTATAAAACATATAAAACCTATGAGAAATTTACCTGCGAGGAAGAAGAGGAGGAAGAAGATTGTTGCCATAGTAACAGCAAACACTCCCACAAGTGCTGTGTTGGTGCTCTGTGGGTTTAAAACACAGCATCTGAAGAAGATCTGAATAGTTCTTGTCTACAGTCAGAGACGCTGAATAGATTCAGATCAGTTACTATAAACTGAATATCACACACACAGAGTACAGAGAGAATTCACATTTAAACACATTTCTCAGAGAACAGAACAACTGCGGCTGTGAAATGTTTACTAATAAATTATCAATGATGTCAAAGCTGATCAGTTGGACAGAAACATACAGGAAGATACATGACTGCAGTCTTACCTGATGAAGTGCTCGTTGTTGAATGAGGTAAACATGTTCAAACCACAAACATAAAACTGATCTCGCTGATGTTACAGTGTGAGCTGTGAGCAAGAGCTGATAAGCAAATGTGTCAGACTGACCAATGAGAGGAAAGAACATCTAGCAAAGCCAAACTCAGACTTTCACCCTTCAGTTTTTTAATGTCAAAACAGCCATTAAGTACAAATTATTAATTTTTCAGCATCAGGAACTTTATTTAACAGAAATTTTACTGTATTTAACAAAAAATTACACAGAAGCCTCAACAACTAAATATAACACCAAACTGTTCAGTGTTTTTTGTGTTCATCCTTTGCCTTTATTACAGCTTCCATTCAGATCAGTAGACTGTATTTTTGCTTTCACAGAATGCTGCAGGGATATTTTTCCACAAAACCAAACTTGAGTCTCAGAAGTTGTTGCATTTTCTGTTTTTCATTATTCAAATGATTCCAAACACACATTCAGTTGTTGTCTCACAGTGGAAGGATGCACAGAATCACAGAAAGCTGAAAGCTTTAAGTGATGTCAAGTGAAGTTAGCAGGTTTGGTTGTTAAGAGTCCTGTTTTCTTCTATTAATCATTTTTGGAAACTGGAATATATTGGAACATTGTATTTATTTTAAACACAGTGCAATGAATGTTGGGCTATACTGTATTTCCATTGAAGTGTCTCCCAGCTTGCTGCCTAATCAAGCTCACCTACCACACTGAAGAGTCTCCTGGCTTGTAACACAGTCAAACTCCACCACTGTGGTGACAAGCATCCTGGTTAAGAGCCTAGTGAAACTCCGCATTGAAGAGATTGTTGGGTGACAATCACCGGTGATGTGATCACCCTATATGAGACATTCATAATGACAGGACTAGAATGTCATTTCTAGACTGGACATTTTAAAGTTGAGTTGACAGTAACATTCCGACGCTGGAGGACAGAGCTCAAAAGCATACTGACTCGTCCAAATCCAGAAATCTGGCAACCTTAGCATAGTAAAAGCTTGTGCAGAAGAAACAACAGACACCAATAATTACTGATCGATCTACGGCTGAAAAGCAGGGGTGTGTCCAGATAACTAATCCAAGTAGCAGTATTAAAATACTGAGACCCAGGAATGCCAACCATTTTGTTCCTTCCTGCAGTTGAAGTTGACTGAATAACAATTCATGAACTCGTACGGATACTTTAAAGACCAGTTAATATCTTGGATGACTTATTAAGGTGGTTAAGGTGTTTGTATCAAATATGTTACTATATTACAACGTTTTCAGTTTTCAGTTGGAAACACAGACTTTTTCAGTACATATGAAAAAAGTGCTCTGTGGGGCTACGTGGCAGCTTGGTTTTGCACTTCACAATCTAGCTTGAACCTATCACGGTATAATATGCTAAAATATGCCAGTAAGAGCGTGTATCAGGCACCAGTGAGAGCCACCAGAGGAAGTGTGTGGTGTCAGCTTAAGGACTGCATGAGCCCCTGAGCCAAGAGTTAAAGACAGAACTTGTTGCCTCTTCTCCAGTTAGCCTCACTGACGAAAGTTTAGAGAATAAAGACTCATCTTAGCGGGTAAACCTGCGTTTGTGTGTGGAGCTGTTAAGCTCCTTTTAGTTTATATTCTTGCTAGCACCAGAGACTAATGTTAGCTTAGTGAGACGGCTAAGCCAACAGCAATTCCGGCTCACTGCTGCTGCACTGAGGCAAGTTGAGAGAATGAAGACCCAAATCTGAGTGAGTGAAGTCGAGTAACTGGGGTCAGAGTGACAGACAGAGAAAATCTTTCTAGGCATAGGAAGTAGGGGTGCTAATGGTGCTGCTGCAACCACAGATTTCAGGATTCCAACAGCTAAATGTAATAATAATTATAATTAAAGAGAGATCTTAACATTATAATCTTAACATTATTATAATTGGGCATATAATGACCCATATGTGCTTGTTTTAGAGGGGAGTTTATACTACTATTATTACTATTATTATTTATATTACTATTATCTATTTTCATTGAAATGAGCTGAATCACTTCCTTCTCCAAATGTTGCATGCTTTGTGGGTGTGTCGCTGTAGGCCATTTTTGTGCCCCAAAGCAGCCTAATCTTATTTTTAAATAATAATAATAATAAAAAAACACAATAATGATGTTTTATCACTCGTATTGGTCACCATACCACACATCAACGATCTAAATGATCTTCACTTTTTAATTTGCATGAACTTCATCCACATAAGAGTATATAACAATAATTAGACATTCAGACCTTAGATATTTATATCTTAGGACTCTGTTATGATCAACTTGAAATCAAGGCATCAACTGAGATAGCAATTGTCACGCCTCGGGCGGACTCTGACTACATTTCCCAGAATGCTTTGGGAGATCACGTGCATGAGCAACTTCCCTTGGACGCGGATTCCAGAACGGACTCCATTGCCCACAATCCCTCAGGAGATCATATGACTGTGGACAATCGTTCGTGCACCTATCAGCGCTCACAATCCCCTAAGTATTAATAATGTGCACCTGTATTTGTGGTCGTATGACTCATTTAGTCTAGCATATAAGCCCGGGCTTTAGTCTTAGTCATTGCAAGGTATTGTTTCTCTTTGAACTTACTGAGTGTTTCTCTGATCTGTTTGTTACTGACCTTGATTTTTGCTTGTCCCTTCTTGTACCTTTGCTGACTGATTTTGGATCTGTGTTTTGACTTTTTGCCTGCTTTTTGACAACAATTTCTGCTCACTCCCTTTGTTTTGGCTGCCTATTGTTATGATCACTTCAGTGATACTTTGCTGCCTTTTGGTTACGACCCACGCCTGTTTTTTGACCACGCCTTTGTCGTATTTAAATAAACCCGTTTGCATTTTTCATGCGCGAGCATCTGAATTCTGTCGCATCGTCACAGCAGTAAGCTAAATATTTATAATATCATCATTTATTTATTCCATTATTCTCTATTCATTCATTATATATTTTTTCATTGCTGGTTTTAAAAACATATTCAAAAGACTTCAAAGACTTGCTGTCCCACACTTTCATGTCATTACCGAAACAAAGAGTTTTAGTCCACAGGTGGAGCCTTATTTTAGCCATACCGCTGCATTTTAGAGCAGGAAGCGAGACTGCATCCCTATCCCTCACAGCCACATGGTGTGTTAGATCCCACAGTTAAGTAAATGTGTCCCAAAGTCTGAAAATCAGTGTGTAACATTTGTCACTACTGAAACACATATTCGGTGCAGTCCAATTGGGAAGCAGCTGTCCTAGCAGCATTTTAAGGCAGCTTCTGTGCACTACGAGACAAAGCCTGTCCCATTTGGAAGGCACCATAAGTCAGCTGCCTGCTATGGTACCTTATTTTGACCAAATCTGAAGACAGAGTCGCTTGTAGGCACTGAAAGCAATCCCACAATCCTATTCACAGGCCGAGTGTCCCATTGCTCCAGTTTAATAAACATGGTGCACGAAGCAGCCATTTCTGCCGGGTTTACAAATGTAAGTCGTTTCTTGACTTCTGTCTTTACTGTTTTGATTGATTCTCATATTTGTGTAACACATTTAACATGTTAGTGTTTGTAGATTGATAGAAATTGTTAAATTGAGGCAATTCGCTTGTCTAACATTACCTGACAGGTTGCATTTGTAACTCGTTAGTTGAAGCAAACATTAGTTTGCTAACTATTTAAATTCGCTGGCTCTTCAAAATGAGGGAGTAATTCAAAATATTGGCTTTTCTCTGTTTAGTAGCACTTTGTATGTAAATAGTTTATTGATTTGATTCTATACTTTTCCACACTCTATATTCTTTTCTGTCCTCAGGGAATAATGTTACAGCAGCGGGGAGGTGCTGGCTGAGGGGCTGAAGAGGAGCTGGAAGGAAGAGGGGGAAAACTGCACTGAATGGCTGAAATGGCAGTGTATGGTGGGGAAAACACAGTGGAACCAGCGCTACAGACTGACGTTGTCCCAGAAGGATGAAGAACATTAACTTCCTGAATGATGTAGAAGTTCAGAAATATAATGTTTTTTAAATAACCACAAATGCTTATTTTCCCTGCTCTGATTCTCATGTAATTCTATGCTTATCACAGTCACATCAGCGTTAGGTGAATGTTGATGCTAAATTTCAGACTAGGAGCTCACAAATCAGATGAGAATGAATAAAATAAAATGCACACTAACCAGCTTAGCAGATTGTGTGCAATCCTTTTTATAGGTAGTTTTTATCCTACATGTGTTAGAAATAAAGCAGTCTCTGTAAGGTAGAGGAAGACAGTGAAGGAACTGAAATTGATTCATAAACTAGTAGTCATTATCTGTATTTATCTCGCTGAGTCGAGTATAATATCAAAATTAGTCAGAATTCACATTCCTAACATACATACCCTAAACGCTGCTTGGTAAAACACTGAGGACACTGAAGTACATGATTGTAATGGGGCTTTGAAGGAGAGATTATTTACAGTGTCTTGTACATGTGGTTTGCAGCAGACAAGGTAAATGAGTTAGCTGGAAACATTATGCTATGGGTGTGTCTCAAAACCTAGTGAGCTCTCTACATAGACAGCATTTGATGCCACAATATGCACGCTCCCGACAAGAAGGCTGACCCAATTCTTAGATATCTCAAATATGCTGCCCACTGAGGTATTTCATTTTGGCCGTATAACGAGAGAGCATCGGATGTTTCCTCAGCCACTAAGGCAATCCTGCGATGCAACGTGGCACAACTTCTGTTTGAAGATGGCGGGCAGAAGCGGTTCGACAAGCAGCTAAGTCATCTTCAAATGTAAGTTATTCTGATTTTCTGTATTTTATCAGTTTTTTTGTCATAAAGGTGGACAAATTTAGGTCCATCAGAGACCACTTTTCAGTTTTTGAAACACCAATCCATTAGCATGCATGCTAGTGGATTTTGAAGCCTTAGGTTTATTGTTTTGAATAGCCAGTTGGCTAACAAACTTGCTGGCTAATGACCAAGTAGCTTAACTAGCGATAGGTTTTGTCAAATGTTAGCTAACTAATGATGAGGTAGCAT